TGATAGTTTGTGATTCTATTATGACACTAAACTCAGCCTCTTTTCACCATACCTTTCTGAAGTTGTATAACTGGCTCCAGCCAACTAAGGAGAGGATGGATAAGAGATAGATAAACATAGCTCATGCTTATCTCCCTGGAGTCCTTGCTATAAACCAAAACTGGCAGGAATCAACAGGCCAGACTCCATTAAAATGCCTAAGATACTATGATGATAGTGAATCTGTTCATGATTTATTCATCTGCCTTAAAAAAAAAAAAGGATTATGTTTGGGAAATAGACTGAGAGGTCAAAGCAGTGTGGTAGTTCCTAAAATATCCTTTTGCAGTAACTTAGAATAAGATTCCCTCTCAAATCACAGTAGTGATTTGAATAATGGCCTACATTGTAGGATTCCCCCTCCTTCTCCCCCCTCCCCCTGCCTTTTTTTAAAAAAATGATTAAAACATCACTGTTCTTGAAGGTCATAGAGCTTTATTGGTTTTGTAGAGGAGATTCCCTAAAGTAGGAGAAAGAAAATTCAAGAAGAATTCTCCTAAAAAGTCTAGTACTACGCTTGGTGGGAGGTTGAAAGGATCGTCCAGCTACCAGAACAGAATATTGCCCTCCTGTCTACCTCTTGTCAACTCTCCAGCCTTGCCAACACCTAAGGGCTTAGAAATAAGATTAGTAGTGCCATTTAAATCCCTGCAGAGCACCTATATTAGCTTGGTATTTTGGTCAGAGATGGGCACTGCTAAGTACTTAATAGGCTCATAGTCTTAAGGGAAGTCAGGTTATATTTTTATCCCTTTCAACATGATACATAAGGAAAGACAAGCCTCACTTCCCAGGTCCTTGAATCTAGACCAAACCTAGAAACCTTCTGGTCACAGCTGATGTACAGTGACATCTTGCTTTCTCATTCCTAAAACTATTGAGGTTTTAAAGACAATTTAAGAAATCCAGATCCAATTACCCTAATCATCCACAATCTGGTTTACAGTTAACTTCTTTGGCTCATGGATGTCTCTCAGCTCACCTTTGCCCCTCACCAGAATATTAGACTATTTATATAACGCATCTGGAGGAAAAAAAGAAAGCAGAACATATTCTTTATTTTACTAGACCTTTTTCAGGGCCACTGATAGGAAATGCTGTACATTCCAAACACTGTCCAAGGTTTTAAAAACAAGACAAATTAAGCCAACATATCTCTGCTGCTTCACTGTTCCTATGAAAGGCTATGTTATTTATATAAAAAAAATTTCAATTAATTTTTTTCACATTTTCACAGTGTCCTTTTGTATCCAAGTGACCAATCTCATTTAGATGTTATTGAGATTTATACATACTTGGTCCTGACATGGCATTGTACATAATTTATTTTTTCTTTGCTTTAACGATTGTTTTGGAAATGACACTGCAGGGGGTCATTACTCATCCTGAGTTTGAGACTTTATTTTTAGTTTAATTCAACTTGCTTAGATCATACAAAATGGGTTTTGGACCCACTATCTAATTCACAGAAATGATAAAAATCAAGGAACAGCTTGGCTGAAGGAACTTAAGCAATTAACTATATGGGAGATCAGGTTGAGTGAGTGCTATTTCAAAAATTAACTGAAGCAAACCAACACTCCCACCAGCAAATTCAAAGGATTACAAAGAATGGAGGACCTTCACAGTCTTCCCTGGAGATGTATGACCCAAGCATGGCAGCAGCAAAATCTACCAGGATAAAAACAGTGAAGGCCATGCTACCAGAAGATCTGTTCTAGTGGTTTGTTGCTGATGTTCAGTCATTCAGTCATGTTCAATTCTTTGTGACCCTCGTGGAACACAGCATGCCATGGGGTTTTCTTGGCATAGGTACTGGAGTGGTTTACCATTTCCTTCTCCAGTGGACTGAGGCAAACAGAGGTTAAGGGACTTGCCCAGAGTCACACAGTTAGTAAGTGATTGAGGCCAGTTTTGAACTCAGGTCTTTCTGACTCTAGGCCCACTGCTTTATCCACTGAGCCACCAAGCTGCCTCCTTTTAGTGGTTTATCACCAGTCAAAACTCAGTGAAGCAGAAACTCAGAGCAGGTGCCTGTTTTGGTTGGCATGGGAATATGGGTTAGGAAACATAAACCAAAGAAAGGAGGAGGAAGTAAATATTTTCCTTTCCCTCCCTTTAAATTCCATCTTCTAATCCCTGGTCTCCAGTACAGAGTAAATTTTTTTTTTTTTTACGGGTTAAGCCCTTATTATAGAACACATGATCATCTTGGATGGCTACTCAATGTGACACTTGAGAATGTTTATAGACACTCAGTTGTGTCAGGCTGTACACAGACCATATCTTGATTTTTCAAGTAAGTTGGTCATTTCTTCTTATTACAAAACTGAGAACAAGATTAGAGTGAAGGTGTGATTGCAAAGATACTATCCCTTATAGCAGAAAACTTTGCCCAATGATCTGTAAATATTGGTTTTTTTTTTTAAGGGCAACTCTTTGAGGTAACCTTAATTGAAAAACATTAACTGTGTTAAAGATCATTAGCATCTAAAACCACCTTGTTCATTTTAGTTGTTTTTTAAATATTAGGTTAATGTATACTGTATTTGGGGCTGCTTACTCACTCTGCCTGAAGTCATTTTGATACCTTTTTGCCTTAAATCTTATCAGAATATACTCAAGATTATGGTGGGATTTTTTCCCCCCATACCATGCTACAAGTAAAAGTAGTTGCAGAAGAATTCTAGAAAGCTAAAAGAAATGACTCCAAATGTTTAATTTTTTCCCCTATTCTTTCTTCCAATGGAGGACTAATATCTGAAACACACAGTACATTTTATAAATACTTTCACAATGAGCTTGTGCCATAAGGACAATCAATCAATCAAATAGCAAATATTTATTAAGTACTCACTACACATAAGGTACTGTGCTAAGCACTGGGATAGAAATACAAGCAAAGATAAAGACAGTTTCTGCCCTCAAAGAGCTGGCATTCTAATAGGAGAGAACAACACAAGAAAGGAGAGTTGAAGATTGGAGATAGGGGAGAAGGAAACACCTGCTAGGTGGCATGGTGGCTAAGTCCAGAGAATCAGGGCAGAACTCACCAATGAGAGGAAGGGACTGCAAAAGCAGAGTCAGGAAGCAGCTGAGGTGTTGTGGAAACAGGAAGTCATCCAAGGCCCAAGACTTTTCTTGAGACATATCACATGAAGCCTACCACTGTGGGTGAGACAGTGTAGCATAGCATGTAGGCAGATGACTTCAGAGCTGGAAAGACCTGAGTTCAAATCCTGCCTCTGGGCAAATCACTTAGCCTTTCAGTACCCTAGGCAATTCTCTAAAATGGTAATTTATGGACAAGCTGTCAATCTGCATTAGTAGAGTGTTTCTATACCACAAGTTCCCCATATTGATGAAACTATAAGTCCACATCAAAAAAAAAAAACTATTACATTTATTTTTGTAAATCTGATCTTTCCTGCTAGACTATAAAATCTCTGAAGGCAAGGATTATGTCTTGTTCATCTTGGTACAACCTATTAGTACAATGAACAGTGTCATGAGCACAACAGTGTCTCAGATTGAGAGCTGGAAGGGAACTTAAGAAGTTATCTTAGTTTAAGACCTTCATTTTACAGATGGGAAAACTAAGACCACAGATGTTAAGTGATCTGCATAAGTTCATATGGGAAGGAAGGGAATAAACACTTATTAAGTGCCTACTATGTGCCAGGCACTGTCCCAGGTGCTGGGGATACTAATATAATGGATGAAACAATCCCTACTCCCAAAGAGCTGATATTCTAATTGAGAAGATTATCAAGGGGCGGAAGGGATTAGAGCCTTTTAAAACTTGGTCTTTTGAGGCAAAACTAGGAATAAGGCAGAGAGATGGATGCTAGCTCAGTCTGGGAGTAGGGAGTGAGGGAAAAGGGAAGGAGAACCTAATAATTAATGTTCTGGAAAAGTGGAATAGGCAGATTTCTGAGACAGTGAACTCTCCCCCTAGGGTCACAGACTTAGAACTGAAAGGGATAGCATGAGTTTGACACCCTAATTTCACAGATGAGGAAACTAATGACCAGTGAGATCAAGTGACTGGTTCAAGGTCATATAGGTATTAAGGAACATTACTGGGATTTGAACTATCTCCTGAGACGTCAAGCAGAAAGTGGATGATAGTATCTCTGTCTGCCTGTCCCTCCCCCCCTCCACCTAGCCATATATATTATTTGATTTTCACAAGCCTGTTAGATAGATACTATTAAGTATTCTTCTTTTAAGGATAAGAACACTGAAATTTGTCAGGGATTTTGTGAAGGGATTCCTAATCAGATATAAGTTTGACTAGATAATCTCTGAGAAACCTTTACCTTTGAACTCTTGAGAGTCTATGATTCTGTGGTCTTAAAGGTCTTTTATTTACAGGTTTTGATTTGTTCTGATGGAGTTTTAGGGAGCTCAGATCAAATGGGGACATAGTCACATTTTTTATTTTGCCTCAAATGTGGTCAGGAGCTTCCTAGGTTCCAGCAGTTCTCTGCCGAGGATGGCAGTGGATAATGTAATCCCTTAGAAATCTTATCCTGGACCTAAATATCTGGCTCTGGGCAATGACTGGTTTTGCAATAAGGCATGGGTAGTGCTAAACAACCTAGAATTTTGGCCTTTGGTTTTTGCTATAGGTTAGTATGCTCCATTACAGGGTGTGAATTCTACTTTTTTAACGGTGGTCATTAAAAGTGAAGGGAAAACTAAGCTATAGTCACGATGAGGATGGAGTAGGAAGGCAAGTTTAAAGATCTCCTTAAGCAGCTACTTATAATGCACTGCCATTTATTTGTCCTGATCCTCTCCCAAACACTGCGATTTTTCTGGCTATGAAAGTCAGAAATCATTAAAGAGATACTCTATCTATTGGTCTATAGTGTACTCTACTGTTGCTATCGCATAGATTAGAATGGCAAGAAGGAGAACCAGAGTAGTTATACTTAACATGGTTTTGCCCTTACCGTAAGTAAACATTCGAGGAGATGTCAACTCAATATTGGGTAGTGCACCCAAGTGGTTCAGCACAGCACATCGATAGCCATTTTTCTGGGCATAGTCGACAAAGGTTCGGATGTACTGCTTCTCACTATGGTTGGCAATTCCAGGACAGATGACCATTGTGACGTCATCTACAGGTTGAAGAAAGACATTCAAAGAGACCAGATCAATGATGATACACTAAATGGAAAAGCTAAAATCCAATTTTATCAGGAAATGGGAGGGTTTCCCTAGTTCCCAATCAAACAAAAGTTTTCATCACCTTGCTTTAGATAGAATTTAATTCCAAAAGTCTTAGAAGGAGAAACTCTCCAAATGTTCTAGCCTATGAATGTATTAAAATAATAATATTACCTACTTTATACTGCATAGTGCTTTATAGTTTAAACTTCACATATCATATATGTACACACATATGTATTGTACACATATATATGTACATACTATATATGTATATATGTATATATATGTATATATGTGTATATATATATGTATGTATGTATATATACACACACACATATGTATCTCTTGTGGGGCAGGCCAGGTAAATAATATTACTTTCAATTTCCCAATGAGAAAACTGAGGCTCACATAAGTGACTTGCCCAGTGTCACATAGCTTGTTAAGTAGTGGAATTGAAACTTGAAAGTAGATCTTCTCTTTCAACTATACTGTCCTGCCTCTCCACTTGAGCAAGTTGTTAACCCTTTCATTATGGAAATGTTGCCCCATTGGACTAGCAACACAGGCTTTGTTTCTTAAATCCGACAAGAATTCTTTCCAAAAGTCCATAAGAGCTGTTGCTTTTAGCAGAGCTTTTTCTGGGATCTATATATTGACAATACTCTTGAATCATCTTCATCCTTTCCTAGGAATAAATGGCTTGGAAATATAAGCGTTTTTAAAGGAATAAGTCATAACCAAACTGTTAGTATTTCTTATTTTTCCTGCCCTCTCACTGCTGGTTTTTTCTTGGCAAAGCAGGCTGGCTAAACCAAATTCTGTTCTTTAAGCAGAAAGTAAAATAAGGTAGGAAGCAAAAATATATCACAACATGAGGACATGCTTTCAAATTTCTCTCTTTGAGAAACAAACTACTAAAATACCATGCTAGTGAACTTATGGGCATGCAAAGCAAGCTTCTAAAATGTGGAATCTGAAGCAAAGCTTCCTTTTCACTAACAAGGCTGATAATTCTAGAGAATTTCAATGACCTGGAGCTTTGGGACATTTGCTGTAATTTTCCATCTTAAATATTACAAGCACCCACGACAGAGTCTAAAGTATAGGGCATACAAATGTCATTCTAAGACATGAGAGCATATATTCAAGAATATTAGTCTTTCTAAAAAAAAAAATTCACAAAGACTGCTACCATAATTAGAGGGGACACATGAAAATCAGGTATCTAGAGATAGGAGCTATCGACTAGCAGCAGAAAGAGTACTCAAAATACGACTTTTTTTTTTTTGCAGTTTTGCCTAGGGCTGGCCCTGCCCTCACACTTCTATTCACTCATCAAGTCATACTCCTCTTTCCCTTGTTTCTCTGAACATCTATTTGGCTTACATGTAGCTCTTTTATTTGTAGGACTCAGAAAAAGGCAAATTGCTCTATATGCATTGAAGTAGAATGGACATATATACACACATCAATACATGGCTGTCTTTATATGGGAGGAGACATTAGGAGACACATGTATCTAGGGGTATATATATCAGGTGTATGAGTATAAGGTGACTGGGACATATTAAGGTCAGGTAGAAATAAGGTCAAGAGTATGATATGAATGGTCCTACTCATAAAATTATAGAGCCAGGAGGAATCTCTGAGATTATATATACAGGTGAGAAAACTGGTTAAGTGACTTAAGAAAGGTCACATAATAACTACGTTACACAAGGTGGGGATTAGAGCCCAGGTCCAGGCCTGTGTTCTTTCTAGGACGCCATGCTGCTTTCCATAGTCATTGCTTCATCTCTACTAATGAATACCAACATAAGCTCCTTAACAATTCATACAGGAAAAATTTTTGGACTTTCATAACAGTATTTGAAAAGCATTTTAGTACTTATATAGTGTGCTTGTATATACTTATGTAGTACACATACACACACACACACATTTACACCAAGTGATTTTTAATCATTTTTAGGATTCCTCATATAATCCTGGAGACTTGTTCCACAATTTCTCTATCACAATATTTTTCATAAGAGACTTTTAGTTTGTAATTATAGACTGCCTAGTAAGATATGTCAAAGTACTTTTTCTTGTTCAATAGTCCATTCTTTCTGAGTAAGGACACAACCAACCAAACCAACTTGGCTTACCTCCAATGCAATGTTCAGCCAAAGGTTCAAAGAGGTCAAAGGTAGAAGTAGCTCCATCTGACATGGTGATGAACTTTCGGTGGCCATAAGGATGAGGTGACCTCACCCTTCCCATCTTCCCATACAAAGCAGTCTGGATATGTCCACTCTTCCCCCATATCAAGGGTGGAATATATCTAAGGAGGAAAAAATATTGAGGATTACTTTTCCCCTACATATAAACTTTCAAAAGTCTTCAAGAGCACTAGCCTTGTAACCTATTTTAATAACATTGGGGGAAACTGTGTACTGAACATAATTATATAAGATAAAGAAATCTTAAGACACACACATCAAATTGTACTTTAGCTTCAAAGTAGCTTTAGAATCCCCACCATGATCTGCACATATAGCAAATGTGAGTGTTTTAAATAATTCACAAGAGTACAAGTTCACAAATTTAGAATCAGAAGGGCCCTAAGAAGCCATGGAGTCTGATCCCTCATTTTACAAGGATTTTTTTTTTATTACATTTTTTATATTTTACAAGGAGACCAATTGACTTGTCCAAGATTACACACAGGTAGTAAGTAGCAGAACTAGGACCTAATCCCTGAGCCTCTGACTCCAGACCCCAAATTCTTTCTACTGTTCCACCCTGTCTCTTGGCATTTTTATCAACAAGAAGTTAAAAAACATAAATATTTCTTTTGACCAGCCTTTATGGACACGTCACTGCACTAACCCTAAATTTTACATCTATATTATAAGTCCAAAGCAGACAATGACTAACAACAAATTCCGAAGCTAGGAGCCTGTTTAGAATTTTAATGCAAAGGATAATGACTAAGCTCAGGCAAGGCACAGCGCCTTCATGCAACTGTCATTATATGAAAATACTGAGTTAGGCGCTCCTGATAGGAAATATAAAAAATATTTTGTTGGATTATGTCTTGCTGGTGATTGTTAATGAATGTAATAAATGAAGGTACAAATGAATAGATGTGAACTTGTAATTATTAACAACAAAAAAGTACAAGGATAACTGTAATAAATGACTTTGCAAGTAGTAGTTTTTCCCTGTTAGAGCAATTAGCTGAAGCTTGGTTTTCAGAGCGTGCCACCCAGGTGAGGCACTAGAGGCACAGCATGAGACGTGCATTTGCAGATGTGGTCAATGTGTTGAATTGTTTTGCTTGATTGTATTTAGGATTGCATTAATGAAGGAGATGCAGGAAGGAAAAAAGGAAGGGAAAAGCATCAATAAAACATTAAAAATAGACACAGAAGAAAAAGTTAACCATAGGGGCACACAAAAACATGGCAATTTTGTTACTACTGTGTTAAATTTAAATATACTAAAAAAAAAACTTTAAAAGTACCTAACAGATTCAATTTCATATACAAACCTTTTTTGTACGTTAAAATGTTCATTTTTTTTTGATGATTATTAAGTTCATAATGAAAAAGAAAAATCTAAAAAAGTTTGTTCTTTAGAGTACAGAATCATAATATTTTATAGCTGAAAGTGTCCTTAGCATGCATCTAATCCAACTTCTTCATTTTATAGATAGGGAAATTGAGGCATGGAGAGGTGACTCGTCTAGCCCAAGTCATAAAGGGGCAGAACATGGAATCCATGTTTCTTAACCCCAATTCTGTGCTCTTCCCACTATGAAAGTTTAGTTGTCTAATGTAAAGTTACTTGTATTCTATTCCATGCAGGGCATTTATTAATAGTCAAAAATGAGATCTGTTAAGTCATGTCTGTGGCTTCCTTCAAAACCATATTCAAATTAAACATCTCTAAGCAGCCCTTTTTAAAGTAATTTGATCCTATTTTGTTCATGCCTTTATTCTGCACCCACTAGTATTTGGAAAAGCTATAACTAGGAATTTTTACAGATGGGACAAGTACTACAAATGAAGCTCAGGGCCAGCCTACTGAGTGATGAGTGTAAGACACCCAGGCCAACTGGGGAAGAGGAAGCACCATCTGATAGGTTCCTATTTTAACTAATTATTCTTGTTAACTAGATGGTAAATCTTGTTGTGTCTATGATATTGAAAGCCTTCAAGTACTGTAAGTGCCCTTTAAATAATTCAGCAGTTCAAAGCCCTGGTAGCCCTTTACTAGTTATGGCTCTGATACTTGGCATGTTATTTTCTACCAAATTAATATATATTTGTTCATGTATTGTTTTACATGTCCTCAAAGTCATGTTTGTATGTTTGTGTGTACCTAGAAAGTAAATAGGAAACTTGGAACTTGGTAAATTATTTTTAGTAGTGATAGAAGTACTAATAATAATATCTGACATTTATAAAGCACCTTGTGGTTTACAAAATATTTTACCTAAATTCTTCTTTATGTGTTATGACAATCCTCTGAGATAGGCAACCTAAATGTAATTAACTATCATAGTGGCTAGCTAGTTGAGCACAATGCAATTCAATTCAATTAATATTCATTAGGTACCATAGCAGGCATGTGGTCAATGCTTTTTGAATTATTCATTCCCTCCCTCCTTCAATAAACAAAATGTTCAAAAAAATAAAATTGAGCACCTACTGAACTTGTTGACTACCTGCTAAAACAAACTGGATACTGAACAGAATATAGAGGTTAATCAGGTCTCTGCCCACTGGACTTATAATCAACACCTGGCTTTAATTACAAAATCACAGAACTCGAAAGATTTTAGAAGATTATGCGATATATCTTGTGGTTTTTGGGTTTTTTTGTTTTGGGAGGGGGCAGACAGGGGAGTGTCTAAATCACTCTGGAAAATAGTTATCATCTTTTAAAAGAACTTCAGGGATGGAGATTTCATAACTGCTCTAAGTAGCTCTTAAATTATTTACCACCATCACTCTGCAAACTGGCCAATTTTTCTCCATACTAAGAACCCATTTTATCATGGAAGGGAGGCAGCATGGTGCAATGCAAATAGAAACTCCATTCAGTATTGGGAAATCTGGGTTCTAGTCCTAGTTCTGCTACTAATTAGTAATATTACCTCGGGCAAATTTCTGAACCTCTCTGGTCCTTGGTTTTTCTTATAAAATGATAGGGCAAGCTAGCCTAAATGATCTCTAGGGCTAGAATTCTGTAATTTTCTTCTGTTATGGGTTTCTAAGATAACATAGTAGGCAAGTTAGAAACTTAAAATCCCATACACCAGGCAGGATTGTATAGTCACTATCCCTCAAACACACCTGCTTCCATGCCTTTGCTTACTCTATTCAGAATGACCTCATTATATATTTCCATCTATCTTTCTCTTACCTATTTTTCTAAGCCCAGCTGGAGTTCCACCTCTTCTGTGGAACTTAATCACTCTTGTCTCTTACATGTGTGGCCCTTAAGTGTTTGCATCACTTACTTGACAGCTAAATATAGGAATGCTGAAACTTACATGATTTCAATTGATAGTGCCCTAAGCTATGGTTTTCTCATGGAAACAATAATAATAATAATAATAATAATAATAATAATAATACTATTACCCAGCATTTACATAGCACTTAAAGATTTACAGAACATTTTTTATAATTATTTTTTAATTCTGAACTTAAGCATCAAAAAAAGAACATTTCCATACAAACAACAGCCTACACAAAGGTGTTACATATGAAACTGTGAATCTCCATTTCATATCACTTGCTTTTAAAAAAGTGAATAATATATTTCATGTGTTGCTTTAAAAACTGTCTGGCATGTAGGTGCTTCCTTTTGCTTTCTTCTGTGTATTTTAAAAATGTTTCAATGACCCTGTTTTTGCCTGGCCTTACTATTTCCTTTTGGAGTTCCTTTAATGAGGTGATTGGTGGATTCACGTAATGTCTTTGTACCCCTAGAGTGCCCACTGTAATGTCTTGCACTTAGCAGACACTCACCAAATAGATTCTCATTGAAAATAAAGAGTGATTGGTACTTCATAGCACTGGCATTTCGATTTGTGTTTCTAAGGCTGATAGCCAGCACCCTCACCATCAATTTGTTGAGTTCTAAAAAGGTATGGTGAAAGTTTTATAGGTGGCCAATAATGTTAGGGTAGAAGAAAATATTAATGTTCCATAGATTTGCGAAACTATTCCATAAATTTTTTCACCAAAAGTTCTTAGTAGTAGGACTTTTTGTGGTAGTAAAAAACTGGAAACAGAATGAACACTCATGAATTGGGGAATAGCTCAACAAACTGTGGCATATGAATGTAATCAAATAAGAAATGATGAACAGAAGGAATTCAGAAAGACAAACCCCTGTTTAACTGAAGCTGCCTGAGGCAGTGTTTAAAGCACTAATGGGAATCAGCACATCTATAGTACAGTGGATCCTCTGTTATGGAATAGTATGTAACCTTACACAAATCACTTACAACTTTTTGTGCCTTACTTTCCTCATCTGCAAAATGGGATAATCAGTGTGTTACTTTATCCAGGAAAGGCCTCTGAACATAAAAAAAGACTTAATAAATTTTTGTTTAATTGAATGGAAGGTTAACAACACCAATTTCCTAGTCAAGGTACTATATTGCTCATTGGGGAGAGGTATTTCATAAAACACGAGGTAGTATTTAAAATAGTAATGTTAAGAAAAAAATCCCTCAAATTGACATTTGGTCATAATTTCAATAATTCCACTACTTGTTGCTTCCCTCCAACTCCTCATTTTCCACCTTCCAAACCCCACAAAGCACCAGAAAATATTGACCTTCAGTTAGTGCTAGGCAAGTTTTTTTGTTTGTTTTCCCCCTCAGAGAATGATCCTTTATATTACTGTTGGGGCAATGGAATGTACAATGACTCACAGAAAAGAATGCACACACCCCACTGACTCATCCAGCAAGAACCTTCATTCAAGTGCTTAGCTAGTGAGATAAGAGAATGACTGTCCAGGGTAAAACGAAGAAGGTTAATGAAATTTTAAGAAATAAAAATCCAAAAAGAAGGAATGAAAGAAACACATTAAAGAAAATGGAAACCTGGCACTTATTATAGTGCAAGTATATCTTCCTAATTTTTATATTAGAAAGGTACACTGGGCCTAAGAAACAAATCAAGTAATTCTCCCAATCTGAGGTTCCTATGACACTAGATCCTAGTAGAAGGAAAGTCTAGTTGCTAGACCGGGTGAAGACAAAGAAGAGAAACATGGCCATGCCCTTATTGCTAACCCTGTCACCTAGAAAAA